GGTTTCGAACTGGATGTTTCAAGCTGCAGTAGTGGTATAGATCCCACCATAACGCCGCTCTGAGTCTATGATCCTGTTAACTCCCTCGGGCAGCATGCTTTGCAACAAACTCGAGTTTTTATGTATTGATACAACTCTGTCATACGATCTAACAAGACTATTATAGAGAATTTTTCTGTCAGTTTCCATAGCATTTCTTCTTGAATTTTTAAACCTGTAATGTTGCGATCTTTAAATGCCGTAAACATTCTGAGTTGTTGTGTTGGTAGAACTGGACAACTGCACTTAGTTGGTAAATCTCCAATTGGCGATATAAAAATTTTGCCTTGCTACTGTTCCTAGGACTCGTTTTTCTTGCTTCTTTTTGTGAACCACTCTTTACAATCTCTGGCCACCATTTCCTTTACAATAAGGTTTATAACTGTAAAATTTTCATTTACTTATTAATTTATTCAAGGAGCGCATACACACTGCTAATTTCAAATATTCAAATTATCTAGAAAAGTCCTACTCATTGATAAATGAAGCATTATTTACTTTTAGATTAGTGGTTTTCAACTAATTATTGATGTAGTTATTTAAAATCTCCTTCAAAGTCTTTCATTCATTGATGAATTGTCTTTGGCGATTTGTCACATATCCTATGCCCACTGCTGCAGGTGGAGTTTATTTCCAGACACGACACGAATGGAATCCCGCTGTGGATGGAATGGCATTTTGGAAATTACTCTCACAGCACTGGTTTAAAGCATGAGTCAAAAACAGGTTGATATGTTCGCATTTTTAAGCCAAAGTGGTTCAATTGTGTTTCAGGTGAAAGTCCTGCATGGAAGGAGGGAGTCCGACAAGGAGTTTATCTGTTATCTCCAGCGCTTCTTCAGCAAAAGAGCATACGAATAGATGCACGTTTCGATTCAAAGATTGGAGAAGTTAGCCTGCAATTCTACTGAACGTGTTACTTTGTATATCTCCCGCAGTAGAGTGATTGTTGTTGAATTTGTTGTCGGTTACCTCCGTTTGGCTTATGAAGGATTTGCTCTGTGTATTTCGGAAATATTGTTGGAGATAATATTGTTATGTAAAGACAGACTTCAGGAGAACAACCCTCAAAGAGTAGAATCTTAACATAATTGCATCGTAGGGAATATAGAAACTAGAAAGTATTAGTGGCGATCACAGCAAATTTTCTCAGGGGTGTGCGAGAGGTCAACGAAAGAAGCTTGGCTTCGGGCGGGGCCAAACCATGTTCCTTTTTGGACGAAGCTGTGTAGATTTTTATGTTTTTAAAATTCTGATTTTCCATAATAGTTAAAACTTAGCCGCCTTGTTGCTCAGTTGGCTTTATTTTACTTTTCAAAATCTTACGCCTATTCATCAGAAAATGTATGCTACACAGATTTATCCAAATAGGAGAGGAGAGGGTCGTTTATCCCTTACCCTCTGCCCACCACTGGGGACCACATGAGGTGGATAAATACTGTGTAACATATGTTTTCTGATGAATATCTTCACTTCAATGAAATCCTCTTTGGCTTCCAAAGCTGCTCGTACAGCAGCTCTACACAAATTCAAAAGCTATCTCTTTTTTATATAAATCTGGAAGTTACTACACCACTTAGTAGCCCCTAATTCGCTTGGACTCTAAGGTTTTTAATTTCTTGGGAGAAGAATTATTTAATCAGTCAATATTAAGTGTGGCGGACCAATTACAAAACCTTCAAATTTTTGCACAATACTTCATATCGTAGAAGGTTACTGTGCACAATTATGTAAAGCTCCTTAGCTTGACGTTGTGGAGCTATTGCTTCTACCGCTTAATTATCTCATAATTTTATCGTATGCGCATAATGATACGTCATGTATTCCGATTAATGATTTCAACCGAATGTGTTGCCGCGTAGGTGTAGTGAAAGGAAAGCAGCCTTTGTTGATTCTTTCAGCGATATCCTAGGAAATTTGTGACTTTTTCCGCTACTGCTTATATTTTTTATGTACGAAATTCTTAGAAATATGTAAAAAGTTGAA